CTGCAATGAGGGAAAAATAGTTCAGTATTGGAAAAACAACTGAACACCCCCCCCCCCCCCCCCCCCCCCCCCAAATGAAACATGCAGGAGTCTGAGTAGCTTCACTCGGCTATGGAAGAAAGGAAAAGAACAAAATTTATAGGGTGGAGCAGCTGTTTTGATCTTGTGCTAGATTGTAGGGGAGACTTCACAGAAGGTGTGGCTTTAGAAACCAGAAGGTTAGGTTGGTTCAGTTGTGTAAAACATTTTGCCAGGTGTAGTCAAATTGCTGAGAGGAAAAAACTGTTGACTTTAACTTGTCATGCAGGTCTTGGCACCAGTTGGAGTTTTGAAAGGTTGAGAACAATGTTTGAAAACATTCAGAACTATTGTAAGAGAAGTCAAGCTAGATAAGCATATGTTTACTAAGCAAACATGGTTTTGTCTGTAAAGCAGGTGTCATAATATACCTAGTGTTTATCTCAATGTGAAGTGTGCTGTGGAGAGATACAAAACCTGTCCTTTCTTCAGTGCCCTTGGCTACTTTAAACCTTATTTTAAATAAGCCATTCCCATTCTATTGATTCACTTTTAGTATTGGAGTAAGTCTGGGTGGGAAGCCGTAGCCAAAAGCAGCCAAACAGGAGCAGGGTATATTGGACTGGAATAGTCCTGCTGTTAGATAGAATGAAGTAGCCACTTTGGCAGACTCTGAATGTCACAGAAGGACAGCAGTTATATAATATGCTATTATTGTATTTTGACCAAGTAGCAAATGGAAATATGTACTAAAGACATTTCTTTCCTCTGGACCAAAACAGCATGGGTGGCTTCAGTATTATTTAACTTAACAGATAGACAAGAAGTTTCATTTTCTGCACTAATTCAAAACAACAAATTGTCTTGAGCTGGCTTTGATGGCAGAGAGGTATTGTACTTCACTCGCTTAACATGCTCACTATGAGATAAAAAGTTTCACATAGACACAGACGTTCAGTTTCTCTAGAAGGAATAGCTGAGTTCTGAAATCTATATAAATATGCAGATTTTATACAGATTTTCACAGGATCTCATTTTGCATGATCTAGTGATTAAAAAAAATAGTTTGCAAAGTGTACTTAAATTTTGCTTGTTATTAGAAGGGACAAGAAATTATGTGGTACATAGGAACTCCTAACTATTAGACATTTTTTTTAATTTAGAGTGTCTTTTATGAGTTAAAAAGACTAGAAAGTTACTTTAAAAGTAGGAAAAACACCTTCTATAATTCCTAGAGGTAGCACAGTAAGCCACAATGCTGAGTTATTACATCTGTATCCAGCCTCAGTGATAGACAGACCTTTGGTACACTCCATAAGAAGAATTCATAATGAACTTTATAAAACTTTAGTCCAAGCTATCTATTTTAATAATCCCACAGCAAATTTTCCTTTAACTTCTGTCATTTTAGGTAATCTTCCAGTTTACAAGTATCTTATAAAAGTATACTGTGTAAAGTATACAGGCTCCTTGGCTGTGTGGATTTAGGGTTGGGAAGGGAATAATAATAATAATAATAATAATAATAATAATAATAATAATAATAACAACAACAACTTTATTTATACCCCGCCATTATCTCCCCAAGGGACTTGGAGCAGCTTACATGAGGCCAAGCCCAACAACACATCAATAAAAACAACAAACAATAAGCAAATAAACAATACAATTAATATAACTAACATATAGACAAAACACATAGAGATTTAAAAGCCTATGGCTGGGCCAAATGTAGTAGTTAAAAACTTTAAAAATAAACGCTGGACATGAACAGAGGTAGGATGTTAAACGAAAAGTAGGGAAGAGCATGCAAGGTCAGATTTCAACTACAGTCCATTTTTTGATCGTTCATATCAAGCAAAATGTATTTTCAGTGGTTTTTTAAAATTAAGTTTTATAATAGGAAAAAATAAGTCATACAAAACCAAATACAAAACTAAGATCTGATTAGACATTGAAATTTCAGGATTATGAAAGCAGTGCTGTGCAGGATGACTAACACTGTCCATAGTGATTAAATCTGTTACAGAACAAGTCTACAAAGGCAGGTATGAAATTGCAGAAGTCTTTCTTATGCTTGCCACATGATGAACAAATCAAACCCTTCTGCAAAAATAAACCCCTTCAATTTATAGGGTTTATTATTCAAGTGTCTGATTTTACCAGTAAATTTCTACATAAGGGCAAGTAACCACATTCTCTGTTTCAAAAGGAACAGTGATGGGATCTGTTAAGATCTGCGTTTCTACATGAGGCATCCAAACAACACCCCACATAAAAACGAATGCATTTGAGTCAAAGCAGGAAACCCCTGTTTTGTCCTGAAGTAATTTGATAGTGGATTTGATCCGGGTCTTCCTGAAAGACATGGGTCTAACCCACTATGGTTGCTTTCTGGACTGTCTCCCCAAACCTCATTCTCCTGGCATATCATTTCTACGTGCCAGGAGAGGTCTGGCAGGAGTTTAATGGTGAGTAGTTTTATTTTTTTACAGTCTTTTTTTGTGTTTGGGGGTGGGGTGTCTTGAAATGTACCCGGAAGACATCTAGATATCCCCCTCGGAAAGCTCGGGCTTTTGGGGCTGGTGTGCGGACTACAGTCCACCCCGACCTGGTTTTTTGAAATCTTGAGTCGGTACGGACTTTTCTGCTGTTTGGAACCGCTCTCAGTTGCTCTGCAGTCTCGTGCATATGTAGATGGCATATGTTTGATATCTCAAACACTAGAGCTGATAGGGAGAAATTGCTGCCATTTTTTTAAATCAGCCGGTCAACTATACCCAGAAATAGGTCTAAGATTTGAGGTACTAAAATGTGTATCAACCATTATAATCAGGCAATTGCTATAAAAAGCAGTATCCAAAATTAATCTTCAGGGTACCTTCCACAATATCATGTGGTTCAACAATGAACCATGTCTAGAATTTACTTGTGTCGTATGTGTTATAAACAAGATGTCATGTAAGTACAAAAGTGTTTTCAGTTCGTTCACCTGTGATGAAATTTGTGTGTCAGTTTCTTCGTAATGTAAGGGTCAAGATCTAAACAGGGATTCATAGACAAATCTTGTAAGTACTTCCATCTTCTTGCTATTTCTATCATTTCAGTGTATAGCAATATAGATAAAAGATCTTTACATAGGACATTTCATTTTTTCTATCATAAATCAGTAAAATTAGTAAAGTGCTTTGAAAGTATATATTTTGATGAGTTATTTCATTAATTCAATCAAGATGTTCCAGTCAAAATGAAATTACCATATTTTAGTGCAACATTTTTATAGGTTATCCAATGTCTGCATAACAAATTGTTATTGATTCTTGTAATCTTAAGGGAGACATGGGTATGTTCATTGTGGTTGTTTGAAAAAGATAAGTGAACTTGGGTAAGATATTCATATGGCATATGTGCTCAACCCAGTAGATTTTTTTTCTAAGATCTTACACTCTTCAATATAGATTTTTAAAAGTTTCTGATTAACTGGGATAATCACTATCATAAGAGAATTTGTGATGTGAATCCCTAAATAGCTTATGGACAAGGTAATAATTGAGATTGCATAGTTGAAGCCTTGAATCCACCTCCTCTGGATCTTTGTCAGGGTTAGCAATCAGGGTGATGTTAAATAGCTTCCATAATTTTGATAATGGATACCCAGATATACTGTAACTAAATAGTCTTTTTAGAATTGGTGAAGCTTGTTTTGAACAAACAAACAAACAAATTATTATTATTGAAATTTGCTTACTTTTGTTTCTTTTTAAAATTGCTTTTTAGAGGTTTTTTAAGGAGATTTGTTGTGTTAGAATTGACTTGGTCTCATCTGTAAATTGCATCAATTTATCTAATAACTAGCTTATCTAATATCGTAGCATATCTAATAACTGCAGTATGCCCTGCAATTTCATGGGGATTAGGGATGCAGGGCCCATGTAACAGTGGGAAAACCACAAATATTACACTATTTATTTTGCTTGAGGGCTGTAGCAATTTCCAGGTCCTCCAGCACAATTCTGTAGTTAACTTCTACCAGAATTTGGCCACACGCATTCATGGAGACTGTTCTCTCTAGGAATGTCTAGTCCTCCAGCATGATTCTGTATTTGGATGAAAGTTGACCAGAGTTGAATTGGAGGAGCTAGAGATTCCTAGACAGAACATGTTATTCAAAACATAAAATCAAATCTGCAAAAGTTAAATTGCAAATATGGAGGTCCGACTGTGTTTGGCATCTGAGAACTATTTCGTACTCGGGCTTCTCTAGTCTATGCTAGCCCAGTAACCGTCATTGGCCATACAACCACTCTGGCCATAAAACCAACCTACAGAATTTTGTGAACGATAGTTGGCTTTTGTAAATTAATGTGAATGTTTTACATTCAGATTTTACATAATTGTATAATTCTTGTTTGATTATGATTGTTTTAATTTATTGATGTTAGATTCTAATGTTGTTTTAATATTTGGGGCTTTGGGGGGTTATAATGTTGGTACTTGTTTGCTTTATGGAGACATTGAATGTTTGTCGTTGTATGTTGGAATCTGCCCTGAGTCCCCCCTGGGGAGATATCATGGAATAAAGTTTTTATTATTATTGTTATCTGATTTCTTGGGAGATCAGGGGATTGTTTGCGAATATATCTACACTCTATTTTTAAAAGGTCCAGGTTTTGCACACTTTTTCATTCCATTGTTCATGAACATTAGACATAACCCTGAAACCATATGAATCTGAAATTAGTTTTCTTTCTGCCAATTTTCTTGAATGTTTGTTATGTCATTTTTTGAGATGCACAAATATTTTCCTACTCCTCTTCAGTTTCTGCCCAGCCCTTTTCCCCAAATGCCACTATCAGCTCTGCTCATGTACCATATCAGAGTCATATCCCATTTTCTGTGCCAACCTTCTCAAATATTTCTAGCGCTCCTATGAAAAAGGCATTACTCCTCCTCCTCAATGGACTTCTCTTTCTGTATCTCAGCCCCTTCTTCCAGATGCCAGGCAGCGTGGCTCCACTTGGAAGAATCTGGGCCGGAAGATCCGTTTCCTTCTGCGTTATATGTGGCCACGAGGGAACCTCCCGCTACAGGGGCTGGTGTTTGTCTGCCTGCTGCTGATGGGGCTGGAGCGAGCCATCAACGTCTTTGTGCCAATCTACTACAAGAACATTGGTAAGAAGAATGGGTGATTTGCATCGCCACTAGCAGAGACCTAGGAATTAATAGGGGAAGACCAAATGTGGATGCTGGGATTTCTCACCTAGGAGTTTTAGGATGAAAGCAGGTGGCACCTGAATAATGTACTGTGTTTTTCACAAATATTCTGAATGAGCCAGCAGAGGGCAACCTTATACAAGAATTGGTAAAAATAGGTACCGTATATAACAAACGGATGGATTGATTCAGGAGATCAACCAGCAAGCCAAGTGGGATTCTCTGAGAGCTACTTGCCTTATGATCCTAGAGCCAAATAGAACATCTGCTGGGCCTTCATCTGCATCTTGTATTTTTGAGCAGTGCATGTTAAACTCTCATTGTTAAAAGCAGAAGGTGAAAGAAGCCCTTAAAACCAGTGGTGGGGATGGTTGGAGGAGCTTCTTTGTTTCTTGCTTGCTAAATAATTGGAAGTCAGGAATCCTTTCTGATTGAGTCCATATAATTTTAAGATATTCTACAAGATATACAACTCCCTCCTCTCTCTGCCTCTGTTTAAACTTTCTTCAGACAGGGGTTCTTAAAATTTTATCCTTTGAATGTTTGGAAACTCAATTCCTAGGATTCCTGACTATTGATATGGCTGGCTGGAGCTTCTGGAAGCAGAAGTCTGAAATATCTGGAGAGCTAGGTTGGAAAATGGCTATCCTAGGGTGTTTGACTTCCTTCTTGGTACATAGGAGACACTCCTTCATTGCGCAGCAGCAGTCAAACCTTATGGGTGCACCTGATGCTGTTCTTGTCAGCAGAAGGAGGGAGAAGAAAATTCATAGAGAATCAGCTAGTCTCACTTGGCTGAGGGGGAGGAAATGAAGCATTGGGATACATGAATCCTGGGTCCTTTCTTTTCCCCAGGAACCCAGAGCATTCAGGTCTTCATGGTCTGAAGTGCCCCACCCCCAACCACTACTCTCCCCTCTCTACCAGAAAGCAAGAGAGAGACCTGTCCTGGCACTTGACAGCTATTGGTTGGTGGGAGATTTTTTGTCCTCAGTGCCCCATCTAAAAAGGCACTTATGCACATGTAAAGTGCATGTAGTCTAAAATCCTCAAAGGCATCTGTTTGATCTTGGAAGCTGAGCAGCCCTGGTTAGTACTTTGATGGGGACCACTAAGAAATACCCAGTGTTGCAGGCTACATTTCAGAGGAAGGAATTAAGGAACAAAGAATTCCTTTCCTAAGAAAAGCTCTATGAAAACATTCATGGGGGTCACCACATGTTGACAAGTGACTTGAAGACACGTATGCACCCACAGGGTCATTTATATGTGTGTCCCTTATCGAGTGCTGGCAAGAGTTTGGCCTGTTCACTATAGTCTGAGGATTCAGGGTTGCCGACCCATGTGGTGTGAAGGAGAGAGAATGACCCTGATTCTGAGATGTTGGAGCTGCAGATCTTTGCCTATTGAAATGATAGAGCAGCAAGAGGAGGGGCGGTTTTTAAGCACATTCCTAATCTGGAATTGAAATGTGATTCTCTCATGTAGGAAAGAAACAACTCATGTGGGAGAGAATAGTTGTTTATACCAGAACCAGGTGCTTTACACATGATTTCTTGTTTTGTTTTGGTGTGGAACCCCTGAGCAATACTGAATTGTTGAATAGATTGTACTCCCCTGCTATATTGTTCCCTATTGTTCTGGTCTATTGGAGGCACCCCACACATTGCAACAAAAAAACCAAAAAAACAACCCCAAACAAACAAAAACACCAAAGCAAGGCAGTAAACTGTGGTATGGCATTCAGTTGTATCACCTCAGAAAGAGGGTGTGTGTCACTTTTGTAATTAATGCTCCTTTGTGGGATTTTTTTAACCTTTGTAGAAAAGTAAAATACATCTTGTGCATGCACATACACACACTAGGGCTTGGAAAGGTTACTGTTTGGGTTACAACTCCCAGAATCGTCAAGCTATTTCCTTAGTGTAATCAAGAAAGGAAACATTTCCATTTATGATGTATGAACCTATCTGGTCTTATCTTACAGCTGCCCTGCCATGTTCATGGATTGTAACAGGGATCCACACAGCAGTGTCTTCCTTGCGGCATTCCTCTGTCTTAATGCTGCTTCCTCCACCTGCTTTCTTTTTTTTTATAAAAAATTTATAAGAATGAAAATATGCTTTTTGATTGGTTGTGCGTAGAATTCTCCATCTGGAAGAAAGGGAGAGCCATTTCACATAGCCTGCACTCTGATGTATCAAAATATCACACACTCACAATTCCTATCTGCAATGTGTAGTTGGATGCCTGTCATTCTAGCTTCTTGTTTTATGGCATATGTGAAACAGTTCTCCTTTCCCTCCTCTTGGATGTCCACCTTCCTTTCCTCTTGTTCTTCAGAGACAAATATTTTAACCAAGTCTTACTAGACTTACTCTGGCCTAAAATCTACACTTTGTTTCTCTGCTATCCAAGCCGCTCCATCTCCAGGATCCATGTAAAATACCTAGCCACTCTCCTGCCTCCCTCCCAGTGATATTGTATGCATTTTCAACAGTGGGGAGGAGTAAGGGACAGGGGCCATGAAATTTCTCTGCATTTAGAACTGAATCTGCAAAGGCAAGGTTTGAGATGCCATCTCATTGTATGCATGGGGTAAAGAGGAGGGCTTTTGTCTGTGGAGACCTGGAGGATTGAGTGGCCTTCTTTGATCTCCTTGCTAGCATCTTCTGTCCTGAGCCTTGCCGTGACCTCCCATCCTGCTTACTCCCAGTCTAACTCTCTGTTGAGCTTTTGGGGTATGTGTGTGTGTTTCGGGGGCGGGGGGAAGGCCCTCCCTTTGTCAGCAGAAGCCGCTGGTGTGTGCCAGGTTCCCATGCCCTGGTGGGCGGTGCGGGTGCCAGCTCAGGGCAGCTATTGAGAGGTGCCTGAATAGGAGAGGATGGGCTCCGGACCTGCCTTTCAGCCCTGACTTTTAGACTTTACAAAGGAGTCATTACAGGCGGGAGGCACAGAATTGCGAACTGCATACGAAATGTCTTAATGGGAATGGAGCTGGGAGTGGGGAGGGCTTCCCTTTCATGCTAAGCAGCTGCTGGGCAAAGAAGACCCTTTTTCTCCATCCCACCTGGGAGAGGCTGCCTCATCCACATTGCAGCCATATCATTTACCTGGCATAAGTCTTAGCCAGCAGTTCCCAAATGGAGACCCACCAGATGTTTTTGGAATAAATTACAGTGTCCATCACTGATCTTGTCTGGCTAGGGATGCTGGTAGCCTTAGTCCAAGCATTTTTGGAGAGGACCAGGTTGGGGAAACCTAAGCACATCTGGCAGTTGTTTTGCCCAGTTATGTGTCTGCCATTTTATTATAGTTCTTAAGAAGAATAGCCATGCTGGGTCAGGCCAATGGTTCCTCTAATCTAGGGGTGGTAATTGTTGGATTTCAACTCTCAGAGTCCCTTACCACTGATTCTGCTGGGTTGAGCTGAGGGGTACTGAAGTTCAAAATGTTAGGAGGGTCCAGTGGTTCTCACCATCTGCTCTAATATAATAATGCTGTCTTTGCCACCAGGCAGTAATTGGGATGCTATCTTTATTATAATCCCATAAGCCTGATTGGTGAAAGTATACTCTTCCTCAAAATGAAATTGCTTTCAAACTCGTAATGCTTTTAATTAGTAAAAGATAAAGATTTCCCCTTGACAATAAGTGTAGTCGAATCCAACTTTAGGGGGTGGTGCTCATCTCCATTTCCAAGGCGAAGAGCTGGCGTCGTCCGTAAAGGATGCCAAGATCCGGCATGACTTCATGGAGCACCATTACCTTCCCACTGGAGCAGTACCTATTGATCTACTCACATTTGTATGTTTTTGAACTGCTAGGTTGGCAGAAGCTGGGGCTAACAGTGGGAGCTCACTCTGCTCCCTGGATTCAAACTGCTGCAAGTTTAGCAGCTCAGTGACTTAACCCGCTGCACCTCCGGGGACTCCAATAGCCATTAATGTCCTATAAAATATTCACCTTGCCTTCATATTTTATCTAATCCTTTTAAAAGCGCATTATTTATGCTCCTGGCTGTTAGCAATGAGTTCTACTGACCCCTTATTCGACATGTTGAGGTAGGTGGGAGAATTACAGTTTGTAAAGAGTTCTGAGGCCTGGGAAATGCTATTTGGACCTGTGACATTATAATAATTAGTTCATGAACTTTTCAAATGAGTTTTCCAATTTTATGAAACCTTCCTCATGTCACCTTGCAGAGAACTGATCTGTTTTTTATGTCCCGGCCTAATCCAATTATATTTGGTGTGCCTGTTGCTGCTGTATGTAGTAACCTCCTGGTTTTACCTCTGTACCTGCAAAGTCCCATGCTATGGGGGAGTTACAGTGTTGGTTGTACATGTTTCCTTAGTGTCTTGGCAGAAAAATACAGGATGTCTGGACCTCTGTGAAGCTTTTGTGAATATGCAGGGTGATTACATAGTCAAAACTCATTTGGAAGCGCCACCTGTCCGACAGGAGTTACTTTTTAGACTACTGCTCCTAGAATTCAGCAGTAGTATGTCCAGAAGAGTAACTTTCCCAAGCTCTGCACATGATCACCAAAGTCTGGTTTTGTGTATTTCAAGCTTTTCCCTTTCCCTTTGTCCCTCTTTTCTATGTAAAAAGGTGCAATGAAATTGGTGGAGTGGTGAGACTTGAACTTGAGATGAGACTTTGATGATGTAATAAGTTTAGATCAAGCTTTGGTCATGCCTAGTCTCATTGATGGCATTTCCATGTGCATGATGAGATTGTCATCTTCAGTTTGTTACTCTCATGTTACATGGCCATTTCTGCCTATTTCTTTTCAGGAAAGGAAAATCAAGGAGGAAACAAACTTAAAATATCACAGTGCCTTTTGACTTGCAACACTAGGAACCCTTTGTTGTGGGACAGGAGGAGATCTATACATGTTCCTGGGATGCTATTTATCATTCCTTGCCACGACCCATGTGGAGTGTGGCTTCTTGG